TAGTGCCCTAGAGCCTCCGAATGCTGGTATGAGCCATGCATGTTGATTGAGCCTCTTTGAGACCTTTTTTTTCCTTTGAGTAGGATTTCCTAGTCTATACCCTCGTGCTAATCCCAATTTGGAAAAGATAATGTATGATCCTTAATCGAGAGTTTTCTCGGGCTCCGGCCCGGGATGTAATTAACCACGGGGGCTTGCGCCCGTGGGAAACTTGGCCCCGCAATCTACTTTACCCCACTCGATCTCTCGTATCGGGTGGGGGAAACCCGTGACTAGGTCGTGTATATTGCTACCCATCGGGGTGTGCTGACGACAGCATCTATCCCCAATGGTCAGTCGTATACGCGATCCAATCTGCCCTCCCATCGACCTGTTCGTGTCGAGTGTAGAGGTCTGCGATCGTTTTGTCTCACAGGGATAGTGCGGTCGTACCCTCTACGTTCGTACCCCACGAGCGGTGCTCCTTCGGAGGTCCACACATGGATGTTCTCTTATTACATGCATTAGTATAAACATATAATTATTATTTTCCCACCATATTATAAGGATCAAACCCCACATAATTTCAAAAGTGACAAAATGGATTTATAAAAATCTTATTGTAAGAAAAGAGTGGTTTTGCTATAGAAAAAATTGTTGAAAAATAAGTAAAAATTTGTCGGAAAGTTTCAATTATGGCGGTTTTCAAACAGATTTTCATCCACTCGAAAAAATCGTCTCAAAATTGATACTTCTCTCCCAAAAAACAATAGAAAAAAAATTTGTTCTACGGATTTCTATTGAAAAATCCAACGTAAAAATCTCTAAAACAGTACCATTTTTTTTTTCCCTTGAAGTAGTCGTTTGATATATCACCAGCAAATTTGAACTGCAGATCACTCCATCGAAAAATTTCTCGAAGATTATCTTCTAGTTTTACTCGTATTTTGACTCGTTATTGATAAACTATGTGCTAGATGTCTAACCCATAAATTCTTCTTTATTATTATTTTTTTATTTTTTCCCATTGCATGACTCTACTGTCCAAAATTCAATGGGTAAAATTATGCCCTTTCCTATAGATTTCTAACTACTTACATCTGAGGCTTTTGCATTCACCATATACAAGATTAATGTTATTGATATTTATATAGTATTGAATAATTAATATGTTGATTATGATAGAAGCGATTGAATTAGAGGCATGAAGGGATGCTTGGTATTGAATATTTACCAACAATTTAATCATTGAATACATATAACTTGTTGATGAACTATGAGAAAATTTGTTATTGCACAAGTAAAATTATATATTCTAAGTGGAATTGCACAATAAATCAAAAATAATTCTACCAAAGTCTTTAGGGTTACATCCAATTTTATTTGTGGGCGAAGTCCAGACTATAAAAAAGAAGAATGGAAATGGAATGAGATAGAGGTAGAAGTAGGTAATTCTATTTCATATTTATCAAAAAGTATAGTGGCAGCGTACCAATATTTTTTTATAATTCTCAACTCACATTTAGTATAATAATTCAAATAAGTGAAATAAATTTATTTTAAAAAATATAAAAATTTTGAAGTAGAGCATCTTTGGCCTCCGATCCCATCCTAGTCAGCCTTCTCAATCCCTCTCTGTCGTGATCCCGATCCCTCCCTCTCTGTCACTGTTCGTGCGAAGGCTTTGTCTCCCTCTCTCTCATTGTTCGTGCGAGAGCTATATCTTATTCTATTTACTGTTTCTCAATAAAATATGTACTGTACCAGTGATTCATTCACCTTAATCTCCCTCCCTTTTTGTTGGGCTTCTGTTTATCATGTAATATTTTGGAATTATGTGAGGAGTTTATTGATAAGTTCAGCTTTTCATTGTAATTATTCTTCTTTTATGTTAGTAAAAATCTATAGTTTACTGTTTAAGAAAATCTGTATCAGTAATTTAAAATTTGCACAAAAGATAATTTTATGAGCTTCTCCATAATCAGCTGTCATTTATTGATTTTAATAAATGATTTTGATATACCAATTTAAACTTTGAATCTAATGTCATTTATTAATTTGATAGTTTATTTTCATATTTATCCCATATGTGAGCAAATATATAGTTCTGAATGCCCACTTTTTTTGCCACTAATTCTCTCTTGCAAATAAGAAAACAATAGATATTCCTCATCGGCCTTCGTTTAGTCACCAAAATCTAATATTTGTTAGACAATTATTTGCTCACCCGAACCTTGATGTTCCATATTGACTATCCTATAATGCATACTAATAAAAAACATGTAATATCTATAAACCACTGATGTCTTACGCTTATCTTCTTGATTGTTTCATCTCTGTTTGTTTCGCACAAGAATATTTGCGGCAGTAGAGAAAAATCTTTTAATGTATTAATTTTTTTATGAAGGTCTAGCACTTACTTATAAACTAAGAGATGTAAGGGATATTAGAGTTTTGATGATTTAATTTTTATGAAGATCTAGCACGCACACACCCCTAATGTTGGTTGGTAGATTGTAGTGGGGTGATGGTGGTTTGGAGGCAACAATCAGTTGATAAACCATCGTCCAGCTGCCAACCGTTGCCGAACTTTGGCCGATCTATGTCTAACAACCATCCAGATGTCGACAGCATTCAAACCCCGGCCCGGCTGCCGACCACCGCCGGACTTCAGCACAACCATCTTGAAACCACCACCCAGCCGCCGACCGTTGTCGGGCTTGCACTAGGTTACCGACCTCCGTCTGACTTCCGACCGGCCATCGTCGGGCTTCCACTCGACCACCAACCTCCGTCGGACTTCCGCCCCGCCATTGTCGAACCACCACCAGGCCGTTGACCGCTACCAGACTACCACCTGACCGCCATTGAACCTCCTTTCTCAGTCAACCATTATTGGTCCTCCACCAGGCTGCCAAGTACGATCCCTATGACCATCATCGCCTGCCAAACAATGATCCTTCTGACATCCGTCATCAGAAAATGGTCTTTCTAACCTCCATCGCCCACCGACTACGATCCTTCTGACATTTGTCGCTCGCCGACTACGGTCCTTTCGACCTGTGTCGCCATAAAACAATCTTTCCGACCTCTCTCGCCCGCCGACTACGATCCTTCCAACCATCGTCATCAAACAATGGTCTTTCCAACCTCCGTCGTCCGTCGACTACTGTCCTTCCGACCTTCCTGCTCATAGACTACGGTCCTTCCGACCTCCGTCGCTCGCCAACTACGGTCCTTCCGACCTTTATTGCTCGCCAACTATAGTCCTTCTTACCTACCTCGCCCACCTTTTGCGGTCCTTCTGACCTCCATCACTAGACAACAATCTTTTCGACCTCCGTCGCCTGTCGACTACGATCCTTTTGACCTTCGTCGCTTGCCGACTACTGTCCTTCCAATATTCGTCGCCATACAATAGTCTTTTCGACCTCCATCACCAGACAATGTTCTTACAACCTCGGTCTTCCGCTGAATGCGATCCTTCCGACCTTTGTCCCTTGTTGACTACAGTCCTTCTGACCTCCGTTACTAAACAACGGTCTTTCCGACCTCTGTCGCCCACCAACTACAGTCCTTCTGACCTTCTTCGCCCTCCTACTATGATCCTTTCCACCTCCGTCGTCAGACAATGATCTTCTTGACCTCCGTCGCCCGCTAACTATGATCCTTCCGACCTTCGTCGCATACCAACTATGATCCCGCCAACCAAACAAACATTAATATTTGTTCTTCCAATTTCCATCGAGTAATGCTCGCTATATGATGTATATTAGCTACATCAAAGCAAAACCTTCCCCCTGCAAGGGCCTCATTTGTAATTGACTGCAAACACTAGTAGAATCATTTCAGCTGGGTCAAGGCCCCCATGGTTTTTTACCTTTTTAAGATTTTCCACGTAAAAATCTTAATATTACTTATGACTCTCGCACATCTTTTCTGTATTTATCTTTATGCTGAATTTTCGTACAAAGATAAGATGTTATATTTTATATCCTTTTACCACCCCTAATGATTGAGCCCGCAATAATTATATTTTGAAGTGAAAATTGAATTTTTCAGTTGAAGATGGCCGAAAATCTTCCGCAATATGTTGAAATTTAAAAATTTTGGATGGCAGCTTATTATAATAATCTTAGTTGAAATGTTCAAAGAAAATTCTTCCTCACTAGCTTTATCATAATTATGGAGCTTGGATAAAATTATGACATCAATAAAAATTGGCCAGCGTATGTGATATTAGGGGTGTCAATATTTGACACGACACGAAAACCCGACCCGGACCCGACCCGAAAATTCCGGGTTGGACCCGACCCGATTTCAAAACGGGTCGGGTTCGGGTTCCAGAAATTGACCCGTTTGAAAAACGGGCCGGGTTCCGGTTGACCCGACGGGTTGCCGGGTCAACCCGCTAACCCGTTTAATTTAAAAATTTTCAAATCCCGCCCCCTACCCGAATACAGCGTGATCGGCTATTCGGCTAACGGGTCGGGTTCGGGTTGACCCGAACAGTGTCGGGTCAGTTTCGGGTTCGACCCGAACCCGACCCGTGACCCGAAATTGACACCCCTAGTGATATATGTGATGTGTAAAAAAACTGACCAATTTCTACTATTTCGGAGAAGCATTTATTATTCTTTATCCTAAAGTATAAGCGATATTTCTGGACCATCTTCTCCATCTCGCAGCAGCAGAGAGCAGCTGCTACGCTACATCTCTCCCTTCTCCATGGCATTTCCCACCTCCGCCTCACTTTCCTACATTCCCACCTCTCTTCCTCTTTCTTCATCTTCGTCCTCGTCCTCCTCCACTCGACCGGTCTTTCCCTGCCGCTCCGCCGCTCGCCCACCACCTCCTGCGGCCGAGTCCCCCTCTAACGAAAATCCTAACCCTTCCCTCTCAGACCAACTCCGACCCCTCTCCCTCACTCTCCTCAAGCAAACCTCCCCCCTTCTCCTCACTCCTTCCAAGCCGAACCCAACCTGGACAAACCCCTCTAAACCCAAAGTCCCCGTCCTCCTTCCCCACCGCCACCCCCGCCCTACCCACTCATACAACCCCGATCTCCGCCGCCTATCCCTCTTATCCCGTTCCCTTTCCGTCTCATCCTCCGATGACGACTTCGACACCGCCTTCCCAAACCCCCTTCCCCATTCCTCCGCCCTCCTCCTCCTCAACTCCCTCCGCCCCTGGCACAAAGCCCACCGATTTTTCCTCTGGCTCCAATCAAAATCCCCCTCCTCCCCTCTCGAAACCATCTTCTACAACGTCGTTCTCAAATCCCTACGTGCTGGCCGCCAATTCTCCCTCGCCGAATCCCTAGCCAATGAAATGATCCACATTGGCGTACCCCTCGACAATATCACCTACTCCACCCTCATCACCTGTGCGAAGCGCTGCCGCCGCTTCGACCGTGCAATCTACTGGTTCAACAAAGTCTACCAAGCAGGCCTCTTGCCTGATGAAGTCACCTACTCCGCCATCCTCGATGTCTATGCTGAGCTTGGTCGGCGAGAAGAGGCCGTCGCGCTCTACGAGCGGGCACGCGCCAGTGGCTGGACACCGGATCACGTGCCTTTCTCCGTCCTCGCGAAGATGTTCGGCGAGGCTGGGGACTATGATGGGATTCAATACGTGCTTAAAGAGATGAAGATGCTTGACATGAAGCCTAATGTCGTGGTGTTTAATACTCTGCTTGATGCGCTAGGGAAGGCTGGGAAACCTGGTCTTGCACGCAACCTGTTTGACGAAATGCTTGCTGCCGGTTTGACGCCGGATGAGAAAACTCTTACTGCGATGATTAAGATCTATGGGAAGTCAAGGTGGGGGAGGGATGCGCTTGAGCTTTGGGATAGGATGAAGGCGAATAAGTGGCCTGTGGATTTTATTTTGTATAATACGTTACTAAGCATGTGCGCTGATCTTGGGTTGGAGGAGGATGCAGAGAAGCTGTTCGATGAAATGCAGCAGTCGGGCAGCGGTCAGCGGCAGCAGCCGGATAGCTTTAGCTACACAGCAATGATCAATATATATGGCAGCGGTGGGAAGCCCGACAGTGCACTGAAGATGTTTGATGAAATGCTTGAGAGAGGAGTTGAGCCTAACGTTATGGGAAGCACCTGTCTGATTCAATGCCTGGGAAAGGCTAGGAGGATTGATGATGCTGTGCGAGTATTTAACGTTGCAATGGAGAGAGGGATAAAGTGCGACGATCGACTCTGTGGTTGCTTGCTCTCGCTTGTGGCTTTGTGCGACGAAGCCGATATGAGCAAGGTAGTTGCTTGCTTGGAGAAGGCTAACCCAAGGTTGGTTAGGTTTGTGGCGATGTTGGGTGACAAAGGAGCGCAGTTCGAGGAAGTTAAGGAGGAGCTAAGGGGGATTCTAAATGAAGCAAATGTTGATGTTCGTAGGCCATTCTGCAATTGCTTGATAGATATATGCAGGAACAGAGGATATCCCTCTCAAAGAGCCCATGAGATTCTGCGTTTGGGAACAATGTATGGATTGTATTCTGGGTTACATACCAAGGGCTCAAAAGAATGGCATTTGAATCTGAGGTCTCTATCAATTGGCGCAGCCAAAACTGTTTTTGAAGAATGGATGGAGACTTTGTTTGATTCGATTAAGCATGAGGAGACATTGCCTTTGATTTTCTCTGTTCAAACTGGCTCTGGAGCTCACAGATTCTCCCAAGGACTGGCCTATGCTTTCAGCTCATATTTGGAGGAGTTAGCTTCTCCATTCAGGCAGAATGGAGAGATTGGTTGTTTTGTTGCTATGAAGGAAAATTTGATATCATGGCTGAGGTCTAGAAATTCTTCAGATGGTGACAAGCAGATTGAGGTGTAAGCAATCTTTCAATTCTTCTAATGTTATTTATTTCATGAAGCGTCTCACTTTTATGTTTTTTTATCCATAATTATGAAATTTTTGCCAAGGTTAAGTTTCTTGTCATCATCTTATTTCTAATTTTTTCAAGCCATCTTGCAGACAATTAGGGTTAGAAGTGTGATTTACAGATTAATTAGGCACTGTAAATTGACATGTTAGTTGTATGGAATCTTGATGTGGTGCATCTTATGCTTATGGTGTTTCCTAGGACATCTTATCTAAGTTTGTTAGAATGCTTCTAGAATTCTCTTTTTGTTTTATATATATGAGGTTTTGTAATAGGAAAGGACCATTGAATGATATAAACCCTTTTGAAGCTTTGAGAAAGCTCTCTTCTTCTTCCCTGGATTGGGAACTCCTTGAAATCCTTCTTGCAGGTTTGATCTTCCGACGATCCACTACATCAGTTGGTATTAGAGCCTGGAGCTTGCGAAGATCGATGGACTGCGGAAGGTCGGCTGTCGACGACGATCGAAGCCGCAAAACAAGATTGGCGGTCGACGACGATCGACGCCAAGGAAGGTGGGTTGTCGACGATGCTCGAAGCCGGATCTCCTTCTATCAAGCTCAATCGAAGAAGTCGCTCGATCAGGTAGATAGAAACCTTGATCGGATTTGCGAAACCCTTCAGTCAATAAGGAGGATGAGGATGTCGTCGGCAATCATACCGAGACATTCTTCTTCTTCGATCCCCTCGCCCGCTTCACGCAGGCGCCATCCCTCCCGCCATACTCCCACGATCGCTGATGATTACGCTCCGCTCGAGCTTCCGCTCAAATGGCGAGATTCCCCTCCGTTGCCGCCCACTTCACTCCGACCCCAGCAGACAGAGAACCCACTTGGCTCTCGCGAGTGTGCTCCTGGTGTTAAGCTCGATCTATTCCGATCAGATTTGCTCGCTTCTGCAATCAACCCACAACCCGTCGCCTGCTGTGTACATGGGGAACCTGCGGCTTTCTCGGCGCTCCACACAACCGGATCATGTCCGCCAATGCGTGGACCCAGTACCAGGCCGCGAAAAACACTTCCGGCGGCCCCAACCCCGTTTTCGCCTTCAGTTCTGCACACCTCTTGCGTTCAAACCGACCTCAAACGACCCGACAAGACCAACTATGTGCCGCCGTTTGCTTCCGACAGCAAGTGCAGATTCGAAGATGACATGGAGCAATCGGAAACCCATATAGTTTCGAATGTAGATATGAACGATGACGAAGGTTCCAGTTCAGACTTGCTAGATCGGGAGACAGATGCTGATTCCACCACTGCTCAGCTCATCGGAACACGCCTAGTGCGCCAGTATTCCATTCCGTTGGACTCGCAGATACCAGATCCGACACATACAGCTGATACTTCGATTCCATCTGACCACAGCAGCAGCATCACCGGTGTCAATGGTTTTGCAGAGGACATCCAAGATCCGGCGTATCCAGAATGCACTGAGCTCCCCCACTCTCGGATCTACTCTTACCAGACTTCAATCAGCTCAGACTATAGCGATGCTATTTTCCTTGAAGGCAATATCGGAGTCGAATCGCCCCATCTCAGCTCTCGCGATTTTGCGCCGCCGACCCTACTGTCACTTTCCGATCCAACAACATCCGACGATGCGAACATGGAAGATGGATTTGCTCCTCTTCCTGCAACCGGAACTACAGCCGGCGAACTTCCGAACTCTGTCGACATTCGGATCCATGTTCCCAAACCTCCTCCACGTCCGCCTGACCAGACCGACTCCGTCGTTTACCCGACTCCTCCTCCCGCCCACGTGAGATCCGACCCCGGCTGCTCACGCGAGAAGGATGATGATCCGACATTCGAAGTGACCAGCCGGAGAACTCACACTTGGATCGCTCCATTGAACTCAAACGTGGATTGGTGTTGTGAAGTACATTTACAACTAGTTTGTAGAGCGTACACTAGAGCGGGATCGGTGCAGCGAAGTGATCGCTACGTTGAACGCAGCCGGCGGAAGAAATTGAACGAGTACCCAGTATGGATTCAGCATTTCTATTTGCCGGTGGAACATCATGCAGCAGATGTCGTATTTCTTGTTAAGGACAGTGACATTGTCGGCACGCAGCTCATCGGTTCTGTGTCCATCCCTGCGGAGTGGATTTATTCTAGCAAGAAGGTGGAAGGCGTCTACCCGATTCTTGGTTCCAATGGGAAACCTTGCAAGCCCGGGGCAACGCTGAAGCTGTCAATTCAATATGTCTCAATTGAGAAGCAGGGCATGTATTACCAAGGAGTTGGTTTAGGTGCGGACTATGGAGGAGTTCCGGGTACTTTTTTTCCTCTTAGGAAGGGAGGAAAGGTCACTCTCTATCAGGATGCTCATATAACTGATGGTTGCTTACCTGACCTGATGTTGGATCAGGGAGGGCATTACGAACATGGAAAATGTTGGCGGGACATATTCGAGGCGATAAGACAGGCTTGGCGTTTGATTTATATCACAGGGTGGTCAGTGTTCCACACAGTTAAGTTGGTGCGGGATGCTGGTTTTGGAACTGATTGTACGTTGGGTGATCTTCTAAAATCCAAGTCTCAGGAGGGAGTGAGGGTTCTGCTTCTTGTGTGGGATTATCCGACTTTAAGGAGCATTCTTGGTTATCAGATAGACGGGGTAATGTCTACTCATGATGAGGAGACTCGTTGATTCTTCAAGCATTCTTCAGTGCAAGTTTTGCTTTGCCCTCGTTCTGCTGGGAAGAGGCACAGTTGGGTGAAGCGGCAGGAAACTGGCGTCATCGTTACACATCACCAGAAAATTGTGATTGTTGATACTGATGCAGGACGCAACAAGAGAAAAATCATTGCTTTTGTTGGAGGGCTTGATTTATGTGGTGGCGGATATGATAATCCCAAGCATCCTTTGTTTAGCACACTACGAACATTGCATAAGGATGATTATCGTAATCCTACCTTTATGGGGGCTGATACAAAAGGTCCAAGAGAACCTTGGCCTGATTTGCACTCTAGAATTGATGGTCCAGCTGCTTATGATATTCTGACAAACTTTGAGACTTCTCAAATATTTGAGCCTCTTGAGGCTTGCAATTTTTATAAGGTGCAACCTATGAGAGGTAACATGATGGAGGCATTGCAAGTTTGGAGAAAAATTTCAGACAAGGGTGATACTGCGGTACCCGAGGCTTCAATGGATAGAAAAGTTGTTAATTTTGGAAATATTGAGAACAAGATCTTCGATCCGGGAATTTGTCTTCTGCAACAATCTCTTTTTGAATAATGCGTCTAGACGAAGTCGAGCCTTTTTACGCTAGGGGAGAATGATGTGGTGCATCTTATGCTTATGGTGTTCCCTAGGACATCTTATCTAAGTTTGTTAGAATGCTTCTAGAATTCTCTTTTTGTTTTATATATATAAGGTTTTGTAATAGGAAAAGACCATTGAATGATATAAACCCTTTTGAAGCTTTGAGAAAGCTCTCTTCTTCTTCTTCCCTGGATTGGGAACTCCTTGAAATCCTTCTTGCAGGTTTGATCTTCTGACGATCCACTACATCAGTGGATCGTCGGGCTTTTTCATACCTAGCGAGGCATTCTCGCTTAGCACTAGGTCTGCTGGACAAAGCGTGAGCGTCTATAGCAACCTTCTCTTCTCCCTCAGCGGAAGAATCGCGTTGGATAGAATCTGGAGGCGAAAGGAGCCCGGCGAATCGTCCTTCCTTGACAATGTTAGTATCCGCTGCAAAATTTTGCTGGAGGGGAAACGTAGCGGGCAGAAGTGACGGCACAAGCGGGGTTGAGCATGATGGAGGTGTCTCTCGCAGCCTAGTTGGGATCTCTGTGGTCGCAGGCGAATCAGATCGGGAGCTTTGTGTTCGCGGGCGAATCTGATCGGGAGCTCTGTGTTTGCGGGTTGGAAACGTAAGGTGGGGGTCGTGTTGGAATGTCCCGGCTGGATTTAAGTGCGGTCATCTGCGGAGGTGGAGGAGGTCGATTCAATGGAAGCGGGCTGATGGGCTCAGGTGATACCCGCGGGAGTAGAATCGATTCGAGGTCGACATACACTCGAGAGGAGGAAGCGGGGGCGGGATGTTCGGGTGAGCTGAGACGAGTGCAGGCTCTCGGGTCGCAATATGAGCGGTGGTTTGAATCATCGGCAGTGGTGGTAATAGAAGAAGATGGAGGTTCGGGAACACGGATCTGGTATTGAAGGGGAGGAGGATCGCGCCATCTGAGCGGAAGCTCGAGCGGAGGGTAGTCGTCAACAACGGTGGGAGAATGGGATTGATGGCGTTTGCGATTAGCGGATGAGGAGAGCGAAGAAGAAGAATACCTCGGTATGGTTGCCGATGACATTCTCATCTTGCTTATTGCTCGAAGGTTTTCTCTAATCCGATCAAGGTTTCTGTCTACCCGATCGAGCGATTCTTTCGATTGAGCTTGATAGAAGGCGATCCGGCTTCGAGCATCGTCGACAGCCCACCTTCCTTGGCGTCGATCGTCGTCGACTGCCAATCTTATTCTGCGGCTTCGATCGTCGTCGACAGCCGACCTTCTTCCGCAGTCCATCGATCTTCACAAGCTCCAGGCTCTGATACCAACTAATGTAGTGGATCGTCGGAAGATCAAACCTGCAAGAAGGATTTCAAGGAGTTCTCAATCCAGGGAAGAAGAAGAGAGCTTTCTCAAAGCTTCAAAAGGGTTTATATCATTCAATGGTTCTTTCCTATTACAAAACCTCATATATATAAAACAAAAAGAGAATTCTAGAAGCATTCTAACAAACTTAGATAAGATGTCCTAGGGAACACCATAAGCATAAGATGCACCACATCAAATCTGAAACATTCAACTAATGTTCTACCTTAAAACCTTATGTACCTGAAACATTTGACCAAAACGTATGATCATCTCCTAGGACAACAACTAATCCATTGTGTTTTAGGCTTCGTTTGTGACAGCTTTCTCACTGCTTCTTAAAGCATCTTTTTAGTACAAAATTTTTAATTTTTTAACTAAAAAACTGCTTTAAGAAGCAATAAAAAAGCCGTCCCAAACATAGCCTTAGTTTGCATTTGTGCAATGGAATGAAAATAATTGACATTCAGATAAATCCCGTTTTCCTTTTACCACTCACTAAAATATAATGTTTCAGAAGTTTTATCGCATACAACGCAGCAGATCTGCCATTGTTTTCCCTTCCAAAACACATGAAAGAATACCATAAAGGAAAATTGTAAAAAACAATTTCCCCATTTCCATTCATCCCCTAAAACAGAAAGAATAAACCAATACGAACCCACCAAAAGGAAGCAATATATTAACTCATCTTTCCAAACCATCGTCATTTTGTTAATGTCTTATGATTCTTTGAAGCTAATACCGGATCTTCATGAGTAAGCGTAACGAATATGTTGCTGCATTGAAAGAGTTCAGAAACTGATTAGCCAGCCATCCCTTGCTTCCCCGCTTGTTTCTTGGAATGGATTAGCAAAAATGCTCGAGTTATACAGTTTTGCAGAAATGAGCCTTCAGTTCTTAGCAGGTCACACATATTTTCCTGAGGACTTCCATATTCTTCCTTCTAGGGATATAACCATGACAGTTACATCATCGTGGTACTTTCGCCGGTCACCCTGAGGTATGTCCAACAGTTCATGGAAGTCCATTCCTGCAAGTAGCAACTCTGGGCATCAATTATGTGTTCTAAATGGTATCAGGATGAAAAAAGTTTTAGTAGATGCACAGTACAAACTTCATTTTGAAGATATCACTTATCTGGAAGTAGAAACCTAATTTTTATTGGAACTGAAGGCTTACACAGTTCTAAAGATTGTTTAATAAAAAATCTGTGGGTATTCTAAGGGCGACAATTTGGAGAAAGATCTAACTTTTATAATCCTGCCGACACAAGATTCTTCGTCAAGTTAGGTCCTTCCTACCATGACCTAATTGCTCATCTTAGGCAAATTAGTCGCACTTGGAAGACCTTTTTACCTCACATGACCCAATAGCTCAAATTTTATAATATAACGTAACCTGCAACGAAGATTTATTACAGTTCCTCATAGTTATGTCGAGCAAAAGTGTTCCCTTCTTCTAGCTCAAAAGATGATGTCACTGTAAGCCTTCTAGATCTCTCTAAGGAAATAGAATTATAAGCAACTACTGCAACCTAAAAGATTGTGAAGAGCCTGCCAAAAAGTTAAAAGTATATGGAGCTTCAACCTAAAGGATTTAGATGGCAAATGTAGTATATAGCCTTATCCTTACATTTACAGATGTCTTCTAACGAGTCAATAGCCTTGAGAGCAAACAAAAAAATAGTTAACTGTCTTTGTAACAAATTTAATAAGCAAGCAACATTGGAAACATGCTCCAAATTTCAGAATCATCAAGATGATGAGACTAAAGCATAAATAGCTCACGTTCCATAATCACATATAAATAGGAAGGAGAAATTATTCTGTGCATAGACCGAATGCAAAACGGTACTTGGAGACCAATCAGAATGTGCCACGTCAGCAGTACCGAGCCGTGGTACCAAGCATAGGGGTGATGTGGCACATTTTAATTGGTCTCCATACGACATTCGGCATCCGCACAGAATAATTAATCAATAGGAAGTCACTCATGAGAGACACTAAAGAAAACAAGCCAGCCAAAAATATCCTCAACTATACAGGCCCAATAAGTAGATATCATGAATGGAACTGCAGAGAATAACCCTCATAAATATGGCTTGTAGCCACTATTATAATTCCCCAAAAGAATGCATCATCCATTCAGATATAGGTAATGAGAATGTGTTAATGCAAGTGAAGGTTGGGGGAACGCAAACCAAGCCTTGAGAAGTTCCATCCTTTTGAGGGAGTCCAAGGTACTTTCGCAGTGATCTCTAGGGTACCCACATTAGAAGAGACTAGATGATAAATAAAACAACAATAATAATAATAGCAAGCCTTTATACCATCATGTGGGGTCAACTACATAAACCCTTTTTCTTCATTATGTATTATTAAGAGTTAAATTCTCATTTAAATCTAATAAAATAAGTTATTTCTAATACTTTCTATGCAAGTCTTTTTAGATCTATTTTTATCTTTCTTAACCTATGTAAAATTTAATACACCTACTCTCATAACTGGGTCATCGGAAGGCTAACGTTTTGTCTGACCAAACCATCTAAGATGACCCTCTAATCTTATCCATCACAAGTACAAGTATAAACTACCCTTACAACAGAATGAATTTAAAGAGCGAATTCTGTGGCAAAGTAGTTCACAATTGCATGAGAAACATTTCATGTGAGCGCTATCATCAGGCTCAAACCATTTGCCCTCATGAGTCAGACTAATCTAAAATAATATTAAAATAATAAAATAAAATAAATTTCAGTATGAGAAAATAACTTGAAAAAAAAAATCTACTTATTACAGGGAAATGATGAGTGGGATGATCCACCAACCAATCCACATCATTCTAGCCTAGAACCAATTTTCTCATGTTTTGGGTTGTATTGGCGAGGTTGGTCAACCATATGATTAGTTCTTTCAACCTACCTGTTTTCTAACATCTTTAAATTCTAAACAAATATGTTATAGTGCGGCTTCACTTTACAGCTCTGCGAGCCATTGCTTCACAACAGTGCAATGCAAGCTGGAGAATTAATAGCAGAACAATTATATTTTTGCTATTCGTAGAGCAGAAGTCTAACTATAGAGTATCAATGCCAATAGATCATGGGTACAGCAAAAGCAGTTATCTTGCTGCCAAAATAGTGCTTGGATTTTGGCTCTGTTACCAACATTTTTGACATGCATATGCTATGCAAATTCATTTTACAAAATTTTGAGGCATCGTTCATTTTGTTACTATATGTATGTAGGCATGTCAAAACCGGGTTTTGGGTCGAACCCTAAACTGACCTAGGTTCAAACGGGTTGACCCTAACTCGACCAGGTTATGTAAAGGGGTCGGAAATCCGGACCCGGACCCGACCCGTCATGTTACCAAGTTGACCCGACCCGACACAGTTGACCCGAGGATAGCGACAACAGGATGGTGGGATGGTGGGCGAACGCGGACGTGAGTGTTGGTGGGCAGGCTCAGGTGCGCGTGCGTGAGCACAGGCAACCTTGGGTGGGTGCTGGCAGGCGTGTGTAGCCTCGGGCGGGCGTGCAGGTAGCCGCGGGCAAGCTCGGGTAGCACGATCAGCTTATTTCAAATGGGTTTCCGAGTTGACCTGGAAACCCGACGGGTCAACCCGAACACAACCTATTTTTTTCAAACGGGTTGAATCCGTGAACCCGAACCCGACCTGGTTTGAAATTGGGTCGAGTCTAACCCGAAATTTTCGGTTCGGATTCAAGGCGGGTTTTCGTGTAATGTCAAATATTAACACCCCTATGTATGAGTGCTCCCAAGAGAAAATTGGCACTTAGTTGGATATTCACAGCATTTGGAAATGGACCATCATTTCATAAAACCTAAAATCAAACGTCATAAACTTTAGCTAGATTTTCAAATGGAGACCAAGCGTTAGAATGTTTGTTTACAGAAGCCATGGGAAAAGAATGGACTGCCTTAGTTATTTAATATCAAGCATTCTCTGTGTCTTTTGTCCTTCCAGATCCCTTGAAATGATCAGTTCAGGAGTTTGACTTGACATTTGGGAAACCATTCATAAAACCCTATACAAATCACATGGAATAGCAAGTTGATCTTAACCAATATCCTCCATAACCATGGTTTCCATGAACGTATTTGATTACTTTTCTAAGCGCATGATACGAATAAAAGATATCTAGTAAATGTTGAACCAAGCACAACCTCTGTCGACCATCTTCCATGTAGTTATTTATCATGCACAAATCATATTTTCACTTGCTTGTTTAGAAAAAATGACTTACCAGCTTTCTTCGCCGCACGAAACAGAAGCTCCTCAATCAAACTTTGGGCAGGATCGCCATCTGGAAACCTTTCAATGAATCTTTCAACATGCACAACCACTTCCTCATTGCTTAAATACTGATACAGACCATCTGAGGAAAGCACCAAAAACTGATCGTTTGGTCCCAATTTATGGTGACAAAGAGAAGGAATACAGGACACATATGGTGCATTTCCAATAAATTCATTCCTGAACATTTCTAGTAACCCATTATTCCACTTGGGCTGAAAAAGAAAGAAAACCCATAAAAATCATTAGTTTTAAGTATCAAAATTGTATAAAATGTTAGATAATAACTATTCAAAACACAAATTACATCATTTTGCAATAAATAATTAACATTAATGAACTTTTTTCAAGGAGACAACAAGCCAAAATTAGAAAATACCTGTTTGAGGTATCCAGCACCGAAAGCACGGGTAACTTTGAGGCGGCCCTTCACCCTATCATTTACAATACAGTGGCTATCATCAGGATGCTCTGCTTTTATCCTTAGAACCTCCTGCATAAGAAACTCAGTTTACTTACAGTAATGAATTCCAGCGTTACTATGCCTTAGAATCATCATCTAAAAACTAAATATTTGGGTCAAATATATGAATCTCATTCTCCATTCACTTAGTTAAGGTTGCTTGAGATATTTATTTTGCATAATTTTTTTTGCAGTTTCCATTCATGTTATCTTCATTATACTATTTTTACTTCATAAATCTTCAGATTTATTTCGCACTTTTTATTTTTTTTGCACAAATTTTTTACAGCTCCCACTCAACTTGATTGTTAGGCATTTTCTTGTTGCCCGATACCCGAATCCATATAATTACTTGTAAACGGTGAATGACGCATCACAGCTCAAAGTTTCTCGTAGAGCCATGACGCTTTAGGCTTTTTTTGTTGCCCAATACCTGAATCCATATAATTACTTGTCAACGGTGAATGATGCATCACATCTCAAAGTTTCCCATTGAACCATGGTGCAGTGCTCACCATTTTAAACATGGCGCAAAATAAAAAAATAGTTATAAAATTCATTATATGTATCCTATTTTAGAGTATCAATTAAGTTGGGTAAGATTTGGTTGAATGTATTTGTCGTCCAAAGTCTAAATCATTAAAGTGAGCTTCAAATTCGTTCATAACTTCTACTAAAATAAAATCTAATAAAAACTTACTAAACTATTTTAATCATATCAACTAATTATAAAATTCATTATTACATTATTTTTGAAATTAAACTATATAATTATTAAAAACTATTTATAATTATATTAAAAAATCCCTAAAATTTAAATTGTGCGCACCGTGCGCCATGCACCATTGCACACATATGGCGCGCGCCAACTTGAACATGTGCACTGTGCCATAGAACTGGTGTCGTAGATGTGCAGCGCCATGCGCCATGGCGCGTACCATTTTGCACCATTGACTAGTATTCATATAATACCATTCATCTAATTGTAATTGCAATTTTATAAAATCCATCTATCTCAATAATACGGAACCCAAATTAGCTTAATTATATGCCCAGGCCCTTCAGAATAGAAAAGCATAGTTGGTTAACTACCCACTTGGTCCCATCAAAGAAGTTCAGAAATAGCTTTTGAATCCTAATGAGCACATACTTTTGCGAGTAAGCAATTTCCTTCTTTAAAGTTGCATTACAACTCATCCTATTACGGTATTACCTAAAAGACATGCTCGCTAATTACTCTCATAAATTCTAGCATGGCTATCTATCAATGATAAACATTCCGTAGGCTCATAGTATTCTATCAATGATTTGTACTCCCTAAGCTCTTAGAAAGGGAAAATTATTATGTGCGGCCTCCATATTCGTCTGGAGGCGAATCTAGATGTGCCACATCACCCGGAGCCAGTGCATCCGAGTGATGTGACGCGTCCGGATTCGCCTCCGAATGGTCCGGACATCGCCCGTAATAATCTCTCCTTTCGAAAGGCTGCATAACCAAAAAAACAATGGAGACAAACTTCAACATAGAAAATTTAAAAAACTTACTTCAGGAATGCTGGTATTGTGGTCGGTAGAAAGCTGCAATGCCCCCAAATTCATCCCCTCTCGACCAAATGGAGCATCGATCTCTACTTCATATCCACCCTTCTCCAGACTTTCCTGCAACCTATACTGAGCTACAATCGCCCTGCTATCACCAACATTCATAACATACACATCTTCGTCCCTCATCAACACCACAAGCAAGCAGGATCCCATCAAAGCCATCTCTGGATTACAATCCATTGCCCTATCTGTCATCTCCAAATAAGCAATCTCCGTCTGCTTAAGCGCCCTTGAAAGAGCTCTAAGCACCAAATCATGATCAGAAACCGGCCCGACCTTCCTCCGGCAACAACTCCTCTCCGGCGCATCTTGGATTTCCTTGGCCTTCTTCCTCCAGCTACCAAGCCCACTTCTCAGCTTGGAGAGTGACAAGGCAAACCGACCTGAACCCGAAAACTCCAACTCACCATCCTCATCTCTTTCAGCTAGGAATTCCCTCAAACGCCTGGCAGGTATACCAGAATTGTCTCTTAAAGGGACACCTTTTTCGCCACTTTCGTCTTTAGATTCCTCAATTTCTTCCCAGAACAAACCGCGCAGCTCATTAAATACAGAACGGTAGAGATTGCCCACCAGAAATTCGGGGGCTTCTGGCCCGTTGAACCCGTCGTAGATCCCGACGAAGAGCCACTTTTGCTCCTCCGAGACGACGACGTGAACCCGATCTTCGCCGGCTTTTCCGTGGGCCCACTGCACGTTCCCGGAAGCCGGCGATGGCCCCGGCGCTTCGCCGGTGTCAGGATCGAATCTCCGTCCAGGGATTCCACGAAGGGGAACCACAGATGGGCGATTCTTCTCCGAGAAGCTTCGCCGGAAAAGCGGCGTGCTATTTCTCCTCTTCCTCCGCTTCTTGACCAAAGGGCCGGAGAAGGGGAGACCCGCCTCAGTGTCCGCGACATCGATCGGGCCGGAGAGGAAGAACCCGCGGTCCAGATCGCCGGCTAGCTGAAGCGGTAGGGTGGAGAAGGAAGAGGAGCTCTGGAATCCAGCGGAGTGAAAACTTGAGGTGGAGTTGTCGAAGATGGGGAGAATGGTTGAGGAGTTCGCAGACACGGAGGCGCCGGAAATGGCCTTAAACGCGATCTCCACCGCCGAGGCGGCTGACGAGGAGCGCGAGTGCACCGGGGATGAAGAACGAACGTAGCAGAAGGAGTGCCCTAGGGTTTCATCAAGTGGTCCCGGCTCGAAAGCCGGGATCTCCTCACCGGCTCCGCCACATCCGCCGACGGCCGACGGCCGGAGGCATGATCGGAGGTGACGTGAGGCTCCGCTTCCCATTATAAGCTCGGAAAAGACGCCTCTTTTTATGTAATTTGATGCTTTTCTTCACATTTTTTCAGAGAGCAAAAGCAGGGCAAAGATGAAGAAGAAGAAGGGGAGGAGGAGAGAGTGGAAACTCTGCTCTGTGTCAATGGCTCAATGCTCCTCTTTTCCGCTCGCTCCAAAACAAAAAAAAGGCCGGGCCCAGGTGATGACGTGGCAATACAATGCAAAGAGGTCAGCTACACGTGTTACTTTCACCCTTAATATTTCAAGAATTGACCACGGGAACAGAGAGGGGATCCAACATCCAAGATTCGAAATGAGGGTCGTTTCAGTAATTTCGAGAAAGAATGATGAGGAAAAGGGTTACGAGATCCAACGGCCAAGATGCCATCGTTTGCCGTCGCGATCACGGAGTCAAACGGCGGGCTACCCCACATAAACCCCATCTTTTACATGCACTTGGCGAAGTTTTCCCGAAATCAACTGCGAAATGGAAGTCACTTCCGGTTTTACCCCCTCTCTCATTAGTGAGGCTCTGCAAGTCAATTGGAGTCCAGAGTCAGAGTCGGCTTTGCGGAGTTACGTTTCTTTATTTACCTCTGTTCAAGGTAAAGGGCCGGACTCTGACATGTGTTAGAGAGAGAGAGGGGGGAGAGCTGCATTGAATAAAAAAAAAAATTTTGGGAGAATATGGGGCTTAGCTCATATCATTAAAAAATAAATATAATAAGTAAAAAAAAAAAATCATATGCTGAGACAAAATCCTATCAGCAAATGCTGCTGAACAAAAAGAAGTCAAAAATAAAAAAGAAAATGGCATCTAAATCACTAAGGTCTCAGGATGCAAATTTCGTGAAAATCACCCAGTCAGCAAAAATTATCCAAAAGGATGTAAGGGTATCCCCTGGTTGTCGAAGAGACTTTCCAAAGGGATGCAAAGCAAGTTTGCATTCATCATTGTCCTTCAAAAAAAAAAAAATTCCTTGGTTGCCAACAAAGACCATCCAGGAAATCAAAAAACGCGAAGAGCAGCACAAAAGTTGTTTCCATCAAACCTTCCACATCAAAAAAAAAACAAAAATCAGATAAGCATATTTTGAAAGATTTGAAAGCTTTTCCGCTTGTGAGACATGTAGTAAACAACCCTTTTAATTTTGGCAGCAGTAGTGACGTGGCAATCAAAGGAGTTACCAAATAATCTGTCATTTCTTGCTCTCCAAATATAGTAAATGATAGCACAAAGTAAAAGTTAGTTGAAATTTTTCCTGTGTTTATCAATTTTCCAATCTTCAATGTTGTTAAAAGCTTGCCAAAGGTTTGGCCGCAGGAGCATACTACCCATAAGGGGAAAAATGTTCTTAAGAATGTCATAAGAATAATCACATTCGAATAGAAGATGATTTTGATTTTCCCGGTCATTACGGCAAAAGGCATAGGACGAGGAGATAGGAATTCCCCTCAAGATCAAGGCGTCAGTGGTTTTTAGCCCGTGTTTGAAAGCTATCCAGGTGTAGACAGAGAAACGCAAAGCATAGTACTTGTGCCATACAAATTTATACTAAGTTACAACATTAGAATCAGAGACAATATATTCGATTAAGATACAATTCTCATAACTAAAAGAACTTAAGGTTTGAATTAGAAACTTCCAAATTATGCTTTAGAATTATCTATACTTCATATTCAATAAACTTATAGATGAAATGAATGCTTCAACTAGACGAATCCAGGAACATCAATAATGTCTTGATCCAAGCTCAACATAGCCTAAATCAAACTCTTTGTAGCATAATTGAAAATTTTATGAGTTTCCTTGAGGTTCCAAATAAGCTTTATTTTTTATATGCTTAGGCTAACTCATCTAGACAAATTTGATTGTTTCAATATCAATAATGCCTTATTATATTTAAAAAATATCATATGATCATGTGGGATAAACATAGATTGTTCAATGGATGTTTCTAATTTGTAATTATGATGGATAGAATTTTTTTCTCTAGAAATATATAAATAAGCTATGATTTCATATATTTTAGAGGATGGAATTATACCAAAAGAAATAATCCATAGAAGAGAATCCAAAGTATTGTATGTCGACACTAAAAAATAGAACATCATTTATAAAGCAACACCGGCTATTGCCAACAATGACGACATCCTTGTTTGATGCTTACTATTACTAATAAGACTAATGCACATTAGTGACACCTAGGACAATGCATATCATCAATATAAAAGGTTGACATAGGCCATCGCCTCTAGGTAGGATGCCCAATGTCTCACAACCTCCACCAACAAGGTTGATTGGCACTAAGGCCAATATATACCATCAACACAAAAGTTAATACCCAGCATCACCACCACAATTAGCCTCTCTCATTTCCACCAAGCTCTCATCATTGTCACTAAGGTCAACCCCCACCATGCCCACCATGGGTGATGTATGTTATGGCCATAAGTTTGACATTTGCATGTCATCACCGATAAAGTTTTTATGACCTCCATTGTTCCCATGGACAAAAACTTCTATTGTGAATAGGGAAAATGCTTGATATTGCTACTAAAGCTAGCATTAGCTATTGTCGTCAAGGCCAATGCTCGTCTTGTTGGCTAAGAATTTTTCCTCTTATAAGGAGAATGACTTGAGCATACAATCATTTGACTCACCATCAAAATCATCTTTAATGTAATATAAAGTTCAAACTAGCAAAATCATTTTAAAAGAGTTAGGCCCCGTAATTTTTCCTCGCAAATTTTCTTATGAAAAAAAAATCATACCTCTATGAATTAATCTCTTAAGATTAAATGCAATAATTCTCTAGCATCATCTCTTATTCTTATTTATGTCTCCTATTTTCTCTTTTTTTTAATCTCTTTCATGTATTCATTCATTCCTCATAATCTTTAAATATATTCAAAGTTAAAAAAAAAATTATTTAAAATTCACATTTCATCATTAACAATTATTTTATTTGTAGGTTATACATCAGTTTCCTAATCACAATTAGGTAGCATAAATGCAATGCATTACATTGTAATTCTATAATTAATAAGGTGATTAGTCATCATCATTAGTGTTGGAAGGAGACAGATCTCACCGCACAAGGCCAAAGGGTTGACCCGACAGCACCTGTGGGGTCCACGACCATAGGGTAACAGCTTTTCTCTTGTCCTCTTCCTATTCTATGCGGGAAAGGTGCGCCTTCCCCAAAGTCAAAAAAAAAAAAAGGAAAAAAATTTTAAAAAAAAAAAAAGCGAAAAAATTTAAAATAAAATAAAGACTTTATTGGTCTGCCGATCTTATCTTTTTTTTTATTATTATTTATTTCGTATTAAGGTTGAATATCTCAAATTAGATGATTAAAGTCATAACACGTGCCAACAACTTTTTGTCATATTTCTGCTGAATAGTCAAACAATTTATATTTTTTTATTAAATTTTCTTATGCTGATTTGTGCTGTGTTGGACTTTCAAAGCAATAATTTCAAAGATTATCATGATTGTAATTTTTTTTGGTAAAAATGATTAAAATAATTGAAAAATTATTTTAAATAAAACATATATATATTTTAAAAATATTATAACAAATAGTTTTTAAATCACTAATTTTTTTTAAAATAATGAAAATATAATAATAAAATAAAATTATGATTATGATGTCCCAAATAGACTCTAAATTTGAATGAAATTAATATGTGATATTATCTTTAAGGTATAATGGCCTTGATTTAATTTCTCTTATATGAAAAAAAAAATTTAATTTAAAATAGTTCTATTTTTATATATAAAGTAAAATATAAGATAATTTAATAAAACTATTAGTAAACATTTATAATTATTGCGACTAGAGTATACGCGTCGAAAGAGTTGGAAAATTTGGTGTCGTTGGGTTCGTATTTCAAAGATTCTCAGTTTGACTGTAAGTTTGCTAAAATCGGAGTTCAGGTGATCCCGAATTTAATTTTTGAAGTTTTCGGTTTAATTTTGCCTCGAGTCGTGCCCGATCAAGATAATTTTTTGAGGATATATCAGTTGCCCCATTTCGTGACGTCGAAGTCAGAGTTCGAAAATATGCGTTCACAAATTTGGGAGAATTTTTCTCTTGTGATCAGAATCCAACTTGCCATTATAGGAGCCTCAAATGCCTTAAAGAGGGCCGGAAATTGAGTCCGGAACGTCAAAACGGTCCCGGGACCACCCAAATCAAGTTCAATTGGCCTTTCTTCTAGCTACCAGGGCAAGCCCCAAGCAAGAGCAAGAAGAAGCAAGAGAGGAAGAGAAGACTGGAGGTAAGAAAACTCCTCACGAACCACACCACGAATTCTGTTTCGACGCCCGATATAATCCAGAATTCATACTCGAAGCCCGAGTGACGCCAGATTCTGCCCGATCGCTCAAGTGACGCTTGACCCGAGTTCTGCGGACGCCCGAAGTGACACGCGGCAATTCTGCCGACTGCCCAAGCGCCACACGGCATAATTTGCCCAAGTGATAGCCAAATTTCCCCAACTCCAAGTAATCGTCCGTGAAATTACCCGGAGTTCTCCTCGGCCCACACAACTTAACGTTGACTTCTACCCGACGTGAGGACCTCTGCTCTTCGCCAAATTTCTACACTACGCTTGACTTCATTGCCAATATTTAGACTTTCACCAGTCATTTATCTGATGTTGGATTTCTGTCAATTGTATACTTCTACCGACGCCGTCTTTCTGACCTATCCGTCGTCAGACAAGAGTCCCGACCTCTGTCGCCCGCCGACTATCATCCTTCCAGACTACGTTCGCCCGCCACTACAGTTCTTTCCGACTTCGCGTCTGCCGACTATGTTTCCTTCAGGACTTACGTGCTCACCAACTACAGTCCTTCCAACATCGCGTCTTCCCGCCGATTATAAGTCTTTCTGCCTCGTCCGCGAACTGGTCCTGTCCACGTAGTGACACACCGACATAGTCCTTCAACCAACTAACAATGCAACATATCGTGCGTTGTACACTATGTAACTGTACTATTAAAATGTACATAAGCTAAGGCTTCCCCGAGGAAGGATCTCATTTGTAATCAACGTACAACTATATACATTATACTCTAGTTCACAACAATAATTATACTGATTATATAAAAAATATTAGAAATATCTAATAATTTAATTAATAGTAATTATTTAATTATATGTCTAATAATTAATTAAATTATATAAAATTTTAATCATATGAGAGATAAACATGTGAAAAATTATTTTTCATTGAAATATTTAAGCTTTAAAATACTTTAATTTTTTTATTAATGTTATTTAAATTTTAAAATTATATAAATAAAGGTATAAACCAAATCAAAATCATAAAAATATCTAATAATATAACAAATATATGTTGAATATTAAACAATTAGTCAATTGTAATTAGAAGTTTTTTTATTATACTTAAGTTACATTTATATAAAATTTTATATTAATTTTGAATACAATGACTATACTTAAATTAATTAAGCCCATCAATTAACTAAGAGTCAACTCAAAAATTTTTTTATAAAACATCATTATAGTTAAGTATTAAGCTTGCTGAATGAAATAGAAAAATAATAATATCAAATCAGATTCGCAGTTAAGATGGGCCCAACATATTATATGATTAAATCATATTAAC